TTAGACACGCAACAAAAACCTCCAATAATCTAGTATACAATTGTGGAATAATAAAAAAAAAAACTGAATAACTATAGCTTACCTTGATTACGAGTTATCTCCTTACAAATGTACGACAATATTTATATCAATTCCTACAAAAAATGATTTTTTTATTACGTGCACAGTTGTTAACTCAAGTCGATGTAAACTAGTGGGTGAAGAGGGATGGTACAGGGCCACGATTTGGCGTTGTCAGTGTAGAAAAAAATATTCATTAAAAGGGAAATTAAGAGGTGGTACGATTTAAATACTAGTACGATATAACCAACTCTCCCCTATTAGTAGGGATTCAGTGATATAAAAATATCTTTATTCAAATTATTGTGTTAGGGTTGCCTTTAATACAAAATAGATACATAGAGACGAGCTTGCTATAAAGCCTTTTACGTATATTATAGTAACCCAAAAAATAATTTATTTTAAACTAACTTAGAGACTAGGGCGTTTCTATTAAAATAAAATTAAGTAAAGAATTCATATCTGAAGTAAGTTTTCGACGATGGCATTTTGTATGATAAAAAAATGCATTTAAATTAACGCGATTATGTATTAAATAATTGGCTTGATATTTCTCCAGGTTTTGCTTCAAGCGAACTTTACGAGAAAACCCCGCTATAAATGCACATGAATAATATTAGAATAAAGAATTCTTTTTATCTTACTATATGTAAAATAATAATTTAAATACCAAAGAGTTTAATTACATTATAATATATAACTTATGTATCATGTATTTGCACTAAGACCGATATTTTTTATAATTTTATTTTATAAAACTGAAATATACAAAAAAAAAATTTTCTTTAATTTAACACATACCTATATAAAATTAGGTACTTAGAAGTCGCAAAACAAAATTCCAACCGAAATGATAATACATATATTCGTGTTCATATATTTCTGGAAACATTTCTATATATACATATATGTATATATGATGAAATTACTTCAACAACTCAATGTATATAGGTCTTAATATACTATATGTATTCACAATATGAGGGAACTATGAAATATTAAAACAGTAGGGAATACTTAATATAAAGCGTTCTCTTGTGTATATATTGTGTAATACAATGTTACTATTATATGTTAATTGGATTATTTAGACTCAAGAATGGATGGTATAATACAATAAGTATTCATGAGTTTTATATTTAATAAAATAAATATAATAAAAAAATCAGATATAATTATTATAAAAAATAAATTAATTTTTCAAATATTAACAATATATTGAAGAAACAATATTATTTAACATAGTCATATCTCGCGTTCAGACTACGAATTTAATGATTTTCTATAGTAACGACAAAATTTCAATTATATAATAAAATTACATATAATATAAATAACAAAACATTTCGATCAAATCAAAGAAGATTTTTACACCCAAGAACGTCAAAAAGACTTATCGATAAATGTAGATTGTAGTCTATAAAGCTACTATTGTAAAAGCATTCAAATTATATATTTTTTATTGTATTATTTAGTCGAGCCTGCGCCGTGGGCGGAACATCTCATCGATACTTTGTTCCGTACTGCGCATGTCCCATCACTACACCCCTACAAATCGGGAATGCTATAAGCTAACAAAAGGACCTCCCCTTTGATATACGTAATAACTTCTATTAACTCAATCATTATAATATTCTTATTAAAATTCTTCATATATTTATTTTGGAAGTTATTATAATGTAAGAATTATTAAATATTTAAAATTAGTTCACGATATATTTTTAGTCATTTGTATAAAACCTTTTTAGTGTAAGATCTCGTTACAAAACTATTTACTTAAATAATTTTCGTTAATCGTTTATTTTATATCAAATTTCGTCTTTTATTTGTATATGAGTCGTAAAAGTTCTGTCATTTTGATGTGATGAATTTACGTATGATTTTCTAGTTCAGGAAGTTTATTTAGGTTTTTGAAAATATATGAAACGATACTAGAAGGAAACAAAAAATTGTAGATATGATAAGAGCATTATTTTATGAACTTGACGTTAAAATCGTGGAAGTCTTTTTGATTTCTCCGAATCAAAGAATGTAGATCTTATTTTTTTTGTAGGATAGTAGTTTTATTGGAGAAAATTATACTTTTTGCATTATTTTGTCAATCAAACCTTTCTTAATAAGGTATTTTACCAGAGTAAATAGACTGTTGATTATTACCTATATTTAATAAATTAAAAAATCATTGTTTTATTGGTGACGCTGTCTATACATTATCTTTAATAACAACCTTTTAGACTGAGAAAAACTGAGAAACGTCGAGAAATATTACATTCACGTACTAATGTATCATACATTATGTACTACAATGTAAGTAGGTATACAGGGTGACTGGTGAATTACTATCGATATTTGAGGACGTGATATTTGACGATCATATATGACAAAATAAAAATTAATATAACATAAATATTAATAAACTTCTAAGTAAAGTTAACCAAAAGTTATGTAATTAATTACGCATCGTATGAACACCCTACAGATTAGGTATACACACACACACACACACACACTCGCGCGCGGCGGCGTGTTGTTGTATCAGCACGCCGCCGCACGTGTCCACACTTGGAACACTTGGAACGTGTCAACACTTTATTTATTTATACGGAAATTTGGTCAAAATTTAAGTACCTATTTTTTTTATATAATTCGAATGAGAATCATGTACTGAGTATGCTCCTTAAATATTGATAGTAATTCACCAGTCACCCTGTATATTATATGCTAGGTTTTATATACAGTATACACTATTGAAGTGTTTGTTTCTTAATATAAAAATCGTTTTAATTTTTCCTTCTGTGTGATACAATATATATTTTTCTTATTAAAATTTTTAGTCACTTATTATAAACTATAGTTATTGATATAAATTTTAATTGATAGCTATTAATCTTCATATAATTCTAATAAAATGTTTGTATGAGACCCTTATATAATTATTAATATAAGTATGCATGTAGGTACTTGTAATACTTACTCTTAAAATTCTTCAAAAAATTTACAAAAATTAGATATTAATATACAAAATTAAACTTGTTAGTTACTGAAACTCGTAGAGATATTTTTAAAGATTACTATCACATATACATGTGTATATACCTTTATAAGGGTGATTCTACACTCATCTTTATAAAGTTACATACACACAGTACAATTCCATAAATCTTAAAATCATAGTATTTATAGTTATATAAGTCGCGTGATGGAATCGTAACGAAATTAATGTATTTTATTACACAGCAAGTTATTTCAGTAGTCATTAAAATCAAACTTCCAACGACTTGAATAAATAATAATATAAGATTGCGTGTCTATTAACTTCTGTATCAGTTTTTACGATTCCAGTTTTCCTATAAATTATTCCAAATATATATAATAATGTTATATATTAATTATCAAGATGATATTTATTGAAAAAGATTGAATTGATTGAAATTGAAAAAGATGTTAACTCAACTGATAAAGAATTTAAATTCTCATATTAAAATATTAATAAAATTTCATTAAATTTAAATATAACACAACTTAACATTCCCCTGTAAGTAACGGTGGCCTAGTAGCTAAAGACACGCCTCTCGTGTATCGCGGGTTCGATCCTGGCAGGTACCAATGTTATTTTTCCGTATCATATGTACTTTTGTAAGAGTATTTATACACCACTGACAGACGGTGAAGAAAACATCGTGAGGAAACCTGGACTTATAATTACGAATTATAAGTTTGAAATCACCAACCCGTGAGCAAGCGTGGTGATTATTTCTTAAACCTTCTCCATATGAAAGAATCCCTTGCTCAGCAGTTCTGATAGGCTGAACATTTCTGAATTAGGTAAAGAATTAGTTAATAATTTAGAGGTCCTTGCACAGCAGTGGGCTCTGATAGGATGACATGAACATTTCTGAATTAGTTAATAATTTTTTATAATAAATTTCCATCATATAATACCGTCCAATAATCTCTGTTATCATATCCAAATAAGTTTATCTCCGGCTACCTGTTACCAGATGACAAACAGTATGCTGCCTAATCTGTGATAGTCGAGCAAACAATGATAGCAGCTTCCTTAGAATTAATCTTTTATCTTAAATAATGAGATAAATTAGGTCGATTTAATTTATGATGAAACCGTCTTGGAAAATTTCGCTTATATATAGATATTTCTTTCGTAATAATTTTATAATAGTACGTCATCTATTATACTTTAAATATGAATATCATCTAGCTTTTGATTACGACTTATATATAATTTTAAATTTATTTTATTATTTTCACAGCAAATAAAACTAATTTATTACATAAAAATAATATACAGAGTATATATATAACTGATGTTTAAAACCTTTTTGGTAAAAAGCTACAGCCAAGTGGTAGAATAATTTGAATCGGTTCAGACTTACCACAGATTATATAACTGTCAAATATATCGTCATACATTTCTATTTAAGGATAAAATAATAATATTTTGTTATAAAATACAATAGGATGAGCGAATTAATTCAATACGATCATTTCTATTTATGAATGAACGTCGTGTTTGTTTTTAAAATGTACTTTAATAAGCTGACAGGAAGCATACAATAAATCCTATGTCAGTGACCCCTTTACTAGTATACCTAATTCCGTTATGCGAAACGCGTTTTGTTTGAATAAAAATAACACTAGCTAAAACTATCGGAATTAGCGTGATTAGTCATCATTCGAATACACGTAACTATAGTTTATACATATATTTCATTCTGTTCCTAATAAATTCCTCTCAACAATCAAACGCTCTTCGTAGCTGTGGCAAAAATGTCGTTCAATTTATTCCCAAAAATTTTAGTCCTGTCTGGTACCTTTTTGTTGCCATCTGCGCGATCCGAAACTCCAGACAGCTCCACCCTAAAAACCGTTTAGACGGGATTCCTATCCTTTCCCTCGCCCCAAAATTTTATATATCCGTCTCACTCTAAACGCTGGTTTACCAGGAACAGTCCTCCGTCCCTTTCTAACACGTGTGTTTGTATACCGCCATCCCTTTCGGCTCGTAGTAATTCGTGCGTTTCCGCTTCCCACACGAACGGCAGCCATGTTTGCCGACTGTCAATTCGATGCCAGTTTGGCGCGATGAAGCAGGATGAACCAGGTCTGTTTTCAATGTTAGGAGCTCTGAAATTTAAATCATTTCTATTTAATATGTTAATTAGATTATTTTTATAAAAAATTAATTACTATTGTTGTTGATTTTCAGATGGCTCATGTTTCGGGAGCGTGAAGTGGTGGAGGGCTTTAAAATTGTAAGTATATATTTTTTTAATTTCGCCTTTATTAAAATCTCTAATCACTTGATTTTTATTTGTATTCAATTAGATCTGCAACGTCCCGTAATTTCAATATAAAATGTAATAATTTATTTAACATAATTGTGATTATCTATTCATTTAATTTAAAATCAAAGACAATTCTGGCAAAAAAAATGTGCTCCAAATTTTACAAAAAAACATTACCAAACTCTACATCTAATGTATATAACTAAAAGTATTAAAACGAAAGTAGAGCCTACCATAGTTCAAACAATGCTCTCTACACGCGGTATTTAACAAAGGCTGTACTGATAATTGTTAAACAGAGTATCGGCCCGGTATTTATTAGCATACCAACTTTCGAACCCCTGGAGGTCCGGCCCGTTTGTTTAGAACCTCTGCATTGTTAACATTACCAATGTATTTCGATATCACTTACGTCATTCATTTCGTCCCGAATATTTCATTTAAAATATGAATTATAACATTAATTTGAATTTAGAATGAATCCTTTGTTTCAAATGGCCACACCCAACGAAAAATCGGATACTCGTAATGAATTCGTCTTATAATATATCACGGAATAAAGTGACATAAAATTTCAAATGGAATAATTTTATAATACAATTCCATTTTTAAAAGTTGCATATTCCATTCCATTTTTAAATAACTAATGTTCCTAAATAATGATTCATATAAAAGTATACTATTAGACATATTTGTTTACTCTCGTGAATTATGAACTTAGAACGTGTAAATGGGCCAATTACCGTGTATGTAGGCTAGTACAATTAGTGTACTGCTAATAGTTGTTGGTTGTTCATCAGTGGTGAGTCTTCCGTCATGGCGAGACGTTCATAACTCGTTCAGATCCCGACTCGATAACAGCTTACATTTATTATAGTATACTTTTTTCATTTAAAACGGTAACAGCGGTGAGTTTTCATTTGTTTCATTTGAAAAATCAGTTTAAATTATAGTATAGTTTATTTCATTTAAAACGGTAACAGCGGTGAGTTCATTTGTTTCATTTGAATAATCAGTTTCATTTGTATTGTGATTCATATTTTATGTTCTATACGGATAAATTTTCGGTAAAATCTCAACGGTATAAATAAATGAATTGAAATTATATTGTAATTCAGAATTAAATGAATTACAACTAGTATTCATATTATTATTCTAGTATAACATAGTCGCAGGATACAGTGATTGTTCCAGTTACAGAATTAATAGCATCCGATGTTTTAACTGAATGTAACTTGTTGCGATCGATATTGAAGTAGGCGTCGCTAACACTAACGGAACATCTCCTTTACAATATAATAAGAGTCAACTAGTCTAGCAACTGGTTGGTCGATTAATCAACAGATTTATCCGAATACAACGACCAGTCAACAAGAGCCGCGTATAGGCGTGCGTGCGAAGATTTTATTATGGTTAGAGGGAGTTTTTATGTGTCTCGTTATATTGGTTATGTCTTCCCAGGATAAGGGCGGTGCTCATTGGTGTTATTTGTACGCATGCGTAAGCTGTGACCCAGTTGATATCATATTACCCCGGGACGTTTGGCGAATCGTATTTCGCGGACATATTCCTCATATACAGTAGACGGAAATCGATCTGACACACAATTTGTATGTAAAATTAATAAATATTATACCGTGTTTGTGTTCTTATAGTTATTTTTTATTTAAATCGATGTTATAAGTACAAATATGTGATGCAAGTCTCGTAACATTCCGCTATTACGTATAGACGCACCATTTTGAATATTTATTAGTGTGTACGTACTAAAAAGTTATATCAATAGTTTTAGTAGTATTCTTCATGTGTTAATGTGTTGTGTAATTGTGTTATTTTTTTATATTAATATGACTTTTTCGTTGTGTTAAATTAGTTGTAGTACACTCTACATTGATTGATAGAAAAAAATTCCACTGATTACTATTACGTCACTTTTATTTAGATCTAAATGAATCGTCTAATTAAATTATCTTTTATTTTCAGATGCTGACCGCGATGAAGATAATAATAAGAAATATATCTCATATCTTTTCTTTACCTATCTTTCTTTTATCTTAATACGGTGAGTATATTTCAGAAATATCTTTTCCCATCAGATGGCGCTCGCATCAATATTAGTGCCCTACATCTACCCTGTAGATCCGAATTTGTTTGAAGTGAGGCGACAAATTCGGTTCTAGAGAGGTTTGTGTGGTGCATGCACGGCGACTATCAAGAAATAAATAAACAACATGAGAAAATTACTATGGAAAACATATTAATATTAATTATAAAGAAAAATTATTTTATATCACAAAATATTTTTCTATAATATATTCGTTTCTTACACAGGATACATATTATTTTCTATTGCAGAATAATTATTGTTAATATTTCTTATATAGAATCATTGTATTATAACACAAAATATTTTTATTTGTAATACATTCATTTCTTAACCGTACATATTTTTGTCTATTGTTATTTAATATTAGCAAAGGAATGTGTATAATTTTGTGGTGATATAAATTGTAAATAATGTGTTTTCTTTAAAACAATAAAAGATTTAAAACATGTCGTCTATTTTATTTATTGTATTATTATGTTTAACATCACCTTAAGAAACTCCTTATATACCTAAATATATGTATTAATATATCAATGAAACTTAATTTAATTTCTATATTGTAATCATATTCAAAGTAAAGTCAAAAATGTACTTAGAAAATATTATAATTTAATCTTTGTAATAATCGTTTAGATTTTGTTTTAAATTTGTAATAAAGATGATTAAATTACATTTCTGTGTTTGAATTAAAATATTAGTTACCTGCATATTCTAAGAAGCCTTAAGATATTAGTTATAATATTTATTTTACCTTATTAAGAGATTACATTAAACATAGATTTTTCTCATGTACTTAGGAATAAGTATTTTTAAAAGATGAGTTGGTAACAACAGCTATTTAAAAAGAGACTTTAAATTTTAACTTTATTGAACGAACTTAAAATATCGATTTACGATTAAACAGCACAGATAAATTATGGCAAAAGAGCTAACAGAATAAGAACTTTTTATAGTAAAGGGAATTTACATATGTAGTATAAGCGATGAATAATAAAATTATGCCTTGTTACATAAAATTACTGTTTCCTGTAATATTACTATATTTTAGAACACCTATGTATAAGAATGAAGGAATATTAAAAAGTAGGTACATACATATATCAGTAGGTAGTACATGTTGTACTTTTTTAGTATTCAATACTTCTTTAATCTATTCATATTATAATAAATAAGGCTATTTAGAAGAAATATATTCATTCTTATTTCAAACGATTATTTAGTAATTTTTTAATCTGTATATCTTAAACGGACTTGTGACCAATAGATGACGCTGATGGCAAGGAAGTTAATTTAGAAACTATTTTCATGCTTGCATCTGCTATTCAACAATAGATGGCGTTAGCAGTTGCAATATGCAACCGTAGTCTTTAATATATTTGAAATATTTGTACTTAATAGTCATATAAAGTACTAAAATATTATATCATAAGTAGATATAGAATTACATATAATAGCTAAAATGTACTTAAGATAGGAATAGGTTCTCAAATATTCCAAATAAAATTTTATACATAGCATCATGACATTTTCAAAATAATTTCTGATAAGGCAGGCTCTCAATATTTTGACAGGTTTTCTATCGACAAATTTGTGTTGACCCTTGGTACCAATATTCAGTACTTTCATTAGTTACCAAACAAATTTTTACATAATCGCCTTAAATGAATACCTGCGTTTTGAACTATCTTTTTTAAAATTATCTTTTTGCTATTACAAAAGTTAAGGCATATTGATCTGTAAAATTAGTTACCAATGAAAATTAATTTCATAGAACACCAACTAAATTACATTAATAAAAAAAATGAAGTCCATGTAAACAATTTTACTCAAAAATAATCAAATAATACCCAATATTTATAATTAGTAACATTTCCGATGGTACCAGGAGTGCAGAAAACAGCTATTAAATATTATTAAATAAAATACGAATAGTCCATATAAAAATGTTACTCAAACAATTATTAAATAACGAAACCAGCTGATGCAAGCAAATATTAGATTTTAAGTAATTATAAATAGTGATCTCATTTATGAATCGATAGATTGTATGCAACAATATAGTATCGCTGTTCCGATGGTACCAGGAATGTATAAACAGCGAAGAAGATTAATGATAGCTATGGACAGCTCGGCCGTGTTTGAGCGCAGGTGCGTTATTTTCATAATTGGTCGACCGCGCCTTCAGCTTTCAGGAACCAATATCTATAAAACTTGATGTACCTATATTGTATTAAGAAATTCGATACGTCCTTATGTATCTTGATGAGATCGGTGAAGAAATAAATGAGTGTATTTTAAATGCAAAATGTTTGTGACGATAATATCATTCAAGATTAAGGAATCTTTAGTGAATTTATTTTTATATAATACAAAATTTGATGCATATATTTCTTGACCAACACGTTTATGTTTATTTAAAATAATTTATATTTTCTGTACTACGCTGACCATTCTTATAAATGAAAGTTTAATTTCTTCATAATCATATAATAAAGAGTTAAAACGTCTGTATGTTTTAACAAACTTTATTAATATTACTTACTAATGATAGTATTAACTATGTAATTGAATGTAAATATTTAATGTTACAACTTTCTTGTCTCAGAGTTCATTTAAGTTACACGTATTATATCCGTAACATGACCATTAGCAAGACATAATATGTTACTTTAAAATATACTTGATATATATAAAGTAAATACAATAATAGTAATTTGATTCCTTGCATACATAGTAATATATTACTGGGAATCATTTAGTTTAGTTCATTTATCTAAATAGTGGAGCGGACGCACATGCTATATGTACGCGGACATGAAAATCTGACACATCTCACCTTCCCAGTAATGAGAACTATTAATCATGTACCCTAGTGGCTAAGGATCTTGGCTAGCATCTGTGCCAAAACTGAAGATCCCGGATTAAAAATGTTACTTATGTATGTAAAAAATATGCTTTACTTAGAAAATTATACTGCCATTAAGATTCTGATATATATTTGTGAAAATATTAAAGATAACACGAAAATTTGTCCTCGTATGGACTTTAAAGGCTATTTATATCCTAAACAAAATTCAATTACAATCACTAATAGAATTTAAAGTATTATCATATTTGTTGCCAGTTTTTCTTATAATGAACTTATAATTGATTTTAAAAGAAAATAATACAAGAACTGAAAGTATTATTGACTGAGTTAATTAATATTAATAAATTTTCGCATAAACTTATCTCACGACATACAAACGTGATCCTAAAATTGTGTAAGTTAACTGCATTGTAGGAAGGGCCATGTCAAAAATTTCTATTATGGCCCTCGCCCGTAATTAATGAACAGCTTATTCAAATACTTTTAAAACTATTATTCATGCCATTTACGTTTGAAAAGTTCCGACTGTATCTATGGAAGTGCTTTTTCGTGTTCATTAAAAAAAATATCTAATGCGATTTTTAAATAGTTTCTTATGCGCCGAAGAGATCTTTAATATGAATATTGGTTCTGAATTAATATCAAAACAAAGATATGATTATTAAGAGAATTTTCTATTACATTTCAATATTCTTAAGACATAAAAAACAAAGGAATAAAGGACTTTTTAGAAGTGTGTTATAAGAAAGATCAGTATGAAACTTTGTATAAATCTAAACATTGATATCATTATTATGCTAGAAATAAATCTGGTATTTAGTTTATAAACTCTTGACAGATTTTTCCCACATTTACATATTATTATGTAAAATTTTAAGGAAGCCGATGGTTCTGAAATCTTGTTATGTGAAAGTAAATTCCAATATAACGCAAATATAGATATAAATAGAATTAAAAATAGAAACGAAAATATCCGTTTTTTTAATATCATGGATGGTTATTATTAATAAATATTTATTACAAATGTATTGAGATTTAACCTCTTAAATACATTTAAAGGTGCAAAGTCCGCTGCACCTAAACTATGCAACACGAGTTGTCCTGAAGTACAGCAACTTATAATATTATTGCAGTCTCCATATCGAAATCCCATTGCAACATTGCACAGCGAACTTTTAATCAAGTCCTGGAGAAACGATTTACTATGGCCACAGAGCTAATAAATGTTAGACAGCCGCGGCTTGGTATTATTTTAATAATATTTTATTTGTTTTTAAAGTCAGTAATATGTTATTTTTAAAGCGTAAGATTATAAATATTTATAATAAAACCTTAATAAATCCCAAGTGTTATGGTTATAAAACACAGAATCTTGTCGGAAGTTATATATATATATTGTATTTTTGATCGATCTTTAACTTAGATGGTATATTTGAATTCATAGCCGTACATTACAATCGCATAAGTTTATAATTTTTAACACGCTTTTATAAGTTTGGTCTGTATGTATGTAAAGGAATCTTTGAGTACGATTTTCAACGGTTTCAAAACATCTGATTAACTTGAAACTTTCCATATGTCTCAAGGACAATATTTCTTTAACAATTTCCCGTTATCTTTGTAATTAAAATTTTTATTCAAAATATAACCAAGACAGCACTGTATTGGAATAAAAAAAGAAATGTTTTGCAGTCATCAACAGACGGTTAAGTTTATTTATATGTGACAAAGTGATTTTATTATATAAAAAAACAAATTCCACCTCAGATTACTTTCGACATTCAAAGAGCAACACTCGGTTATTAATATTTCACACTATGTTGATGATTTTTATTATTTCAGTAGCTATTATCTATATACTGTTTATGTGAAAGGTGGCAAACAAGAACTCGGACTACTTGATGGGCAGAAATCACCGTCATGCATTGAAATATGATACATAATAGATATTGCGATGCATTGAAAACTTTAATTGTTGAGGACGGAGGAAAAGGTGGGAATAAGAAGACGGTAGGAAAGGTAAGGGCGAGGGAAAGAGCAACTAGCTCTTTCACTCATCGGAAAAAGCGCAGCCATTAAAGGCTACTTCACGTGGATCTTCTGTGAGAGGGTGGTACTTCCCCGGTCGAGCCAGCCCATGTTCGAGCTATAGTAACTTGACTACAGCTAGGCTCTACCATTTAAAAAGACTTCCTAGATCTACATTTTGACTTTTCATTTCATAATAAATCAGAAATATGTAGAATGTCGTATCTGAGTAGTTTTCAATATACGAGAAAAATAAATAGTTTTCAATATACGAGATAAATATATTATACTTTGAACGATTATATGTATATTATCGTTGTTTTTTGTATTGAAATGGCCAATAAAATACCTTGATTTGTTTCCTTCATTAAATTTACGTTTCTAGCTATACATAGGGAAATTTACTGTAATAATTATATTTTAGTGTTATGAAAACAAACTATTCGTATCAAATTATTCTAATTATACAGACGAGTCAGGTCTAACACATTTTCAAAGTCTATGGTCCGAGCACGCCCGCAGTCGTCGGTCGGAGCCGTGGGCAGCTTACCATTAATCACTAGTTTTAGCTCCAACTATACTTACTATTAATGTTTGAGACAATATATGTGGGTATTGATAGTACAATTTATATCTAGCCATAGTTTCATAGCGATCGGAACATATTTTTACATATTATATACATATAAAATATAGTAACAATTCGTTTTCACACATTGAAGACGTTTTCGAGTACTAAAAGTATGAACAAAATTATTTAACTAGGTGTTTAAATTAATTTACAAACCCTTGAAATAAGTAGTTTATAAGAGTTCTAATTGACTTTTCTGAGCTATTATATTTATAGAACCTTTTAGTTTTTCCTTTAAAGCTACAAAAGAAGCACCCGAATGAAATTATTTTATCTAAAATATTAATTTACCAAATGGGAGACATAAGAGCCCTCTTCTTTGTTACATTTAACTATACTATCTAAGTTTATAAAGTTTTCATTTAGATTTGTTACTGTTATTGAATTAATAACCTAGTTCCTAGATTTCATTTGAATATTCAAGGAATATCATATACCCGTCTGAGTAAATGATGTAGTTCCTATAAGTACATATATATATATATATATATATATTTCCGTAAAAGAAGAAGAAAATTCGTCTCTTTAATATACATATAATTAAGAGTTTATATTTGTTTCCTAAAATAATTTATTTTATTACGTTAAAATATTTACCAAAAAAATAACAATGTTATTTAAGAAATACAACCATTATAAACATGTTTATCCAGAAAAGTTTATTAATAACTATTTAATTTCAGAAAATTTTCATATATATCTATATCTACATCTATATATAGTAGGTCTATATTAAATTGGCACATTATATTATCTATCCCCAATAAAACCAACGGGGTAGCCCCATATCCCACGGCAATTGATACAACCGGCTGATTGGATACAATCTATAACAACGAGACTATACAGCTGACTCATTGCTGGGGAATTGGTTCTGAACAGTAGCTAACAGTTGTTCCATTCAACCATATGGGGTTTAATTTTAACGTACAATAAAGTCTTTATTAAATCATTATTTTCAATATAAAATATATTTTTTTATAAAGTAACTCAGTTAAGATATAATAAGGTATATTTTCCGAAATTCCCCAAAGCCCTTAAGCAGTTTAGATTTATACAAATATAAACATATTTGTATAAATCTTATAGATTCACAACTTTAAAAAATAACTTACCTTTGTGACAAGCTGTATATATATTATAATATTTATAAATTAATATGTAATCGAATACACTTACATATTGAGATCCTCTTATGAAAAAAATAAATAAATTTCATATCTATTTTTGAAATAATGAAAATTCTTAAATAACCCAGCTCCTGTTAACCATCTAAGAACTTTCGCATTTAAACAGACAAAAGACACTATTGTACTGTGTTAACTGCGTTCGCAAGTCCACAATATATTTATTCTACTTGCATATAACAATAACAACCCTTTTGCTAATTTCTTTAACCGTTCGTTACAATTAACGGAGTTATAATTTATGGTACATAGTGGTGGTCTCCAGTAGTTAATGGTACTGCAAGTCATCAGCCATTGTAGGTCAGTTACTGCTCCCGCTATGTCGATACTGTATTGATATTCTTTTTGCAGTGATTCTCAAAGTATATATTTTTTTTAGCATAAATTAATTATATATTAATAAATTCGTGTTATAAAGGTAGCCAATAATATTAGTTAGACCTACAGTCTAAAGCTTCAAACTTTAATTTCATAAAAATAATGAACTCCTACTAACAAACTAATTTTATCAATAATTTTGTTGTTATTTTAAAGATATATGACAATAATAAAGTTAATTGTTGCTAAGCAACAAATATTTTTTTTATATATGTTATTTTTACCTATATGTTATTTATTCACACTTTATTATTAACAAGTTATTTAAAGTAACTATTCAACAACGGATATTTTAATTGATACACTATAAAGCTTTGACGATAGTATTACTAGTACTATTTCTATAATATAATTTACCTTAAAATCCTAATTTTATTCTAGACATAATATAATATGTGATATACATACATACATATAGTAATATATTTGAGGAGCAGTGTCTAGTAATGCTGGCGTTACCAACAATAGTTCACTAATGATCGTCTTAACATTCAAATCGCCTACACACCTTTTGTCTCCAAAACATTGAAGTTTTTCATAGCTATACTATTTTTCAAGCGAACAAAACTCCGCAAATGATTGAAGGATGTGGGTCATCGGGTTACTTTAGATATATATATTTAGACTCAGCTTTTAGTAATTTATTTTAATAAATTTTTGTTAGTTTCGAATTAATTATTTATATGAAAAAACTTTGTACGTAATTTTAAAAGATTATACAAGTTATATGTTTGAAAATCTTGATGAAAATTTATAATTATAGTCATTTATGTAGGCTATATCATTTTAAAACTTTTTAATTGAAATTATCGTGACAAAAGTACCTAAGTCTTATTGTTATTATGAATTTAATTCATTTAAAGATTTGATCGATATACCGAACACTGTTCCTAATCCTTACCAAATTATATTAGTAAGTACCTAATATATAAACAATATTTCAAAACGTTAAATTTCTTCATCATATAATATATAAATTTAATATATGTTGAGGCCATGTGACATTCAAAACTATTAATCACAAACTCAAACCGCGGCGGTTTACGAACGGAACTAAAATATAATTAGAATTACTGAACGTTTCTGTTGAGACAAAATTTAATATTATCTAAAAATATAACGATATTTTAAATACGTACCACAGCTTGCAACCTTGAGATAGTGTTGAAATTATTACTTTTAATTTCAATATTTCTACCGGTTCAGTGTTTAAAATCACTAGAGCAATGACTTTTCATATATTTTTTAAATTTAGAATATTGCCAACTAAAAAGGTACAATATTTGAAGCGTACAAGCTGCAAAAATCCAAGCGATTTAGACAATAGATCATTAAAAATCGGAATAAAAACCCCGTGAGAATGAAACGTCAACGCAATCATTACCGTACGTAAAACGGAATTGTATTGTTGCTGTGGAAATGGAAAAATCGATGTGCGAGAATGTATTGAATAAAACAATTTCACGGACAATAAAATCCTCGCGTTCGAAAAACTTCCAAAAGAGAACGGAATCAAACCGTTGGCGTCCATGGCGAATGTTATTAATTGTTATTTTTTTGTGTACTTTTTTATAGATTTTATGATATATTATTCTTCGTATAGCATCTTAGGATGTGTCATTTACGTAAGAAGACCTTTAAAAAATTGTATAATTTTTACCCCCCATTAGGCAAAAAAATGCACGTGTAACTTAAAGTTTGATAAACAAAATAATTGGTCCTTACTCATTGTTTTAATTCACGTGACTTATAACAATTGAGTGGACGTTAATCCTGTTAAACCCACGGGAGTGGTCATCAGGTATCCCCTCGTAATCCACTGTAGCTGGACCAATCAACACGCTGTCAGTAGGGGAGATACGGAGGGTAAGATGAGAAATATATTGATAAAATACCTTGACCATTCTGGATGCTTTTAACGCAAGAATA